ATTGGTTTCACAATGAAATGGACCTTGAAATTGAACTCAAAGTAGCAGAAATGTTTGATTTTTTCCGATGTTCAAGAGTAAACAAATCACGCCATGCATAACATACACGTCAACTGGTGAGTGTAATAATCTTTCACACGTGCATTGATATTATTTATACCATTTTTACAATAATGCAGTAGTCTGCATAACAATAAATTTTCTATTCTTTGTGTGAATAAAAATTCAAAATAGAAAGCAAGAGTAATATAAGAGGGGCCTTGAGACATGACTAATGAACAGAGAAAATGTTATTTTAGTGCCAGGAATGTCTGCATTGTTTATTCTGGACCATGTTTTGAAATTGGTATCTTTTTTTAATTTGCATGAAATTGGCCAAATTGCCAATTTCTGTCCACTTTATTGGGTAGTTAAAGTCGGTAAATGGACGGTTTCTTGTACTCAATCGATAGAACAAATAGAGTTCTAAAGAAATAGCTATGAGTTTGGTTAAGTGGAACAGTGGAAGTGGCCAAAAATAGAGCTCAAATTGGGCGAAATTGCTGATGCGTGTATATCGTAGACTTTGTGAGAGCGTGATTCCATAAATTTTCCATCAGATTTCTTACTTTTGGTGTCATTACCATCGGGAAAAAATTCTCTATCATTTCATAAGTTTTTTTTTTTTTTTTTTTTTTTTTTTTTTTTTTTTTTTTTTTTTTTTTTTTTAAATATTTTGTGACACTGGGAGACAGTTTCACAATTGGGGTTGCAACAGTCAAAGGGTTAATCTTATGTGTTTTGATGATGGAGACTCAGATGAAACTCTTGCAGGTGTGTGTGTATGTGTGCTACTGTTGATGTTGAAGGTTGTTCAATGTTAGTTTTTGATGTTGAAGGTTGTTCAAAGCTAGTTGTTGATGGATATAAATGGTATAAAATACCGACACAATGGAAATATAAACACTTATGCAGTATAATGTGATCCTTTATTGACTACGTTTCACCCACACAGTGGGCTTTTTCAAGTCACAAACAGATCTACCTGGGGTGGAAGGGACGCGAGTATTTATAGTCAGGTTCAGAATGCTGAGGTCAGGTGGAGAATGCTGCATCTGATGATGTACCGAGTGGGGTTGTAGAGTCTAAAATCTTGGGTAGCTTGTAAATGAGATTGGATAAGTTTGTGAGCAGACCTTCTACAGTGTTCTTATGTGGGATAGCGATGAAGAAGTTTCTTGGCAAGTGGTTCAGCTATGTTATAGAAGCCACTATTCTGGTTGAAGTTGTCGGTTATTGAAATAAGTGATGATTCCAGGATTCTTCGGTATTGAGTGTTGTCTTCTGTGGCGATGAGTCTTGAGTTTCTGTAGTTTATCAAGCGGTTGTGTGAATTACGGTGTTGTACACAGGCATTCCTTGTGTCGTCAGACCTGCTTGCGTATTGGAGTTCTGAAATACGTGTTTGGAGGTCCCTTGATGTTTCGCCCACGTATAACTTGTTGCAGTCATTACAAGGGATTATGTATACCCCTGCAGAGGGTGGAAACTTGTCCTGTCTATCACTGGTAATGTCCTTGATGGTCGTGGTTGTGGAGGTAGATACTTGAAAGGAGGTATTGGAAAAGATGTTGGAAACGTGTTTGGCAATGGAGTTGGTGGGGAGGACTATGTATCTCTTCTCGGCAGTGTCTTCTCTGGGTGTGTTGAAGATGTTTAATGCCCGTCGTCTGCAGTCTCTGATGAAGTGACGAGGATAGTGGAGTTTAGAAAATACTTGTTCAATTATCGTGCTTCTTCTTCAAGGAACTCATTGCTGCAGATTCTGAGTGCACGCAGGAAGAAGCCTATAATTACACCACGTTTGGTTTTGGTGTCGTGGTGAGAGTAAAAGTGAAGAAGGTCGTTTTGGTTGGTGGGTTTTCGATAGACTTTAAAACGAAGTTCGTGGTCAGCTTTGCAGAGCAGAACATCAAGGAAAGGAAGAGTGTTGTCGACTTCTTCTTCAAGTGTGAACTGGATTGAAGGCTCGACCTGGTTGAGCTTGTCTTGGAGAGCTTGAACGTTGAAGCGTTTAGGAGTTATGAGGAGAATATCGTCAACATAACGGAGCCAGGTGACAGACGAAGGAATATGGTGGAGAAACGTTCGGCTTCTAGATGTTTCATGTATAGGTTCGCCAGGACCGCACTGAGTGGCGAACCCATGGGTAGTCCAAAAGTCTGCTGAAAGAGGTGATTTTCGAAAGAGAAACACGTAAAGCCAACACATAGTTCAACAAGGTCGATGAAATCGCTGGCTGGAATGGGAAGATCAAGTGAATCGTCAATTTTCCTGCGCAAGAGATCGATGGCTTGTGTAGTAGGTACTTTGGTGAATAGGGAAGTCACGTCAAGGCTGGAAAGTTTCTTGTTCCTGATGTTGATGTTGCGAATGCGATTGAGAAGATCACCCGAGTGTTTGAGATGTGCTGGACTGATTGTGCCCAAGAGTTTAGAGAGGTGTTTTGCGAGAATTCCTGAGAGCTGGTGAGGAGCACTGCCTATTCCCGAGGATATGGGCCTCAGTGGAATACCAGGCTTGTGAGTTTTTGGTAGGCCGTACAATCTGGCAGGTCTGGGGTTGCAAAACACCTCTCTAAACTCTTGGGCACTATCAGTCCAGCACATCTCAAACACTCGGGTAATCTTCTCAATCGCATTCGCAACATCAACATCAGGAACAAGAAACTTTCCAGCCTTGACGTGACTTCCCTATTCACCAAAGTACCTACTACACAAGCCATCGATCTCTTGCGCAGGAAAATTGACGATTCACTTGATCTTCCCATTCCAGCCAGCGATTTCATCGACCTTGTTGAACTATGTGTTGGCTTTACGTGTTTCTCTTTCGAAAATCACCTCTTTCAGCAGACTTTTGGACTACCCATGGGTTCGCCACTCAGTGCGGTCCTGGCGAACCTATACATGGAACATCTAGAAGCCGAACGTTTCTCCACCATTATTCCTTCGTCTGTCACCTGGCTCCGTTATGTTGACGATATTCTCCTCATAACTCCTAAACGCTTCAACGTTCAAGCTCTCCAAGACAAGCTCAACCAGGTCGAGCCTTCAATCCAGTTCACACTTGAAGAAGAAGTCGACAACACTCTTCCTTTCCTTGATGTTCTGCTCTGCAAAGCTGACCACGAACTTCATTTTAAAGTCTATCGAAAACCCACCAACCAAAACGGCAACCGACAACTTCAACCAGGATAGTGGCTTCTATAACATAGCTGAACCACTTGCCAAGAAACTTCTTCATCGCTATCCCACATAAGAACACTGTAGAAGGTCTGCTCACAAACTTATCCAATCTCATTTACAAGCTACCCAAGATTTTAAACTCTACAACCCCACTCGGTACATCATCAGATGCAGCATTCTCCACCTGACCTCAGCATTCTGAACCTGACTATAAATACTCGCGTCCCTTCCACCCCAGGTAGATCTGTTTGTGACTTGAAAAAGCCCACTGTGTGGGTGAAACGTAGTCAATAAAGGATCACATTATACTGCATTAGTGTTTATATTTCTAGTTGTTGATGTTGAATGTTGTTCAAGGCTAGTTATTGTTGTTGATGGTTGTTCAAGGCTAGATGTTGGTGGTTGTTCAAGGCTAACTATTGTTGTTGATGGTTGTTTAAGGCTGGTTGTTGCTGTTGAAGGTTGTTCAAGGATAGTTGTTGCTGTTGATGTTGAGGGTTGTTCAAGGCTAGTTGTTGCTATCGAAGGTTGTGATGGTACTTCTTTAAAGTATGAAAGCAATGAACTTTGCCTCATGGATTGTTGTCCCCTTTTTATCACTACCCGTAGATGCTGTTGCAATTAACACAGAAATATTATACATATGATACACGTAATAACTTGAAAACATTTGAAAGTTTTGAAAATTGCCAGAATATAAAGATGAGTGCACAAATGTTATAAACAGATTGAATCACCTTCAGTAAAGTGGCATGAGGTGCCCTTTCCTGACTCAGCTGTTGAGCACAACAGGCTGAAAAAGTAGAACAAGCAACAAACACAATGAATAGTGGGTAAAATTGAAAAACTTCGAATTAGCAGAATGCTGAAAAGTGGAACACCATAAAGCGGGGCCCTACTGTATATAGGTTCAAGGGAATGTCCTGCATGTAATGCTCATGGAAACTTGAAAATAAGTATCATTGTTTAACTATAATGGGGTTATCCTAGGTTAAATCTACACTTGTACTTATTGTCCTAATTCCACTGTTAGTATCATGAGACTGTAATAAATATGTAACGAATAAGGCATCTTCTGGGTAGTTCCACACCCTGTTGCTGGTAGTTAGGCAGTGTTACCTTATAATACACTGTGTTCCTACCTGGTCTTAGATTATTTCAAAGGCATGAGGAGGTACTAGCAAATCAGGCACAGTCATTACCTGCATACTCATACATCAGACACAGTTATCACCTGTGTACTAGTATATCAATCATTACCAGCATACTAGTATGTCGGACACACTTATCACTTGTGTACTAGTACATCGGACACAGTCATCACTGCATACTAGTATATCGGACACAGTATAATGTTAGATACAGAACAGAATGTTGTTGTTAAAGTACTGAATAACCAAATGGGTCTAGCTCTTTGTATATGAAATAGAGTAACACTAACATTCCTTGTGGTCCTGGGAAATCAGAATCTGTGAATAATACCAAAGTAACTGAACTGAACAATAAATTTTGCTACAGATTCATTCATTTTGTGCTTGAGAGACTATATTTCTTTAATGTGTTATCCTGACCTGGTTAATATTGGGTGTGAGAAAAGTCATTGATTCAGGAAAGACTGGTTAATATTTGAATGTTCATCTGTAAGAATATAGGATAATCAAAAACTGTAATTGTGAAGCTCACAAGTTTGTAGACAGTTGTATTTTTGTTTTTGTGGTTATATATGCTTATTTTTCTCCAAATTTTTTACTTTTTATTTTTTTATTTTGTGAAACAGTGAAACAGTTTGGGAAAATATGGCCAAGATGTGTGTCAAAACAAAACGCTTAGATGTAGCAGCTCTTTGTTTGGGCAACATGAGTCATGCAAGAGGAGCAAGAGCTCTTCGACAAGCAATGAAGGAACCACAGTTAGATGCCAGGGTAGCTATGCTGGCACTGCAACTTGGTATGATGGTAAGTACAAAATTAATGTACTTTAGACATAATTAGTTATTTCCAGTCTAAGTAAATACCTCATGGTATCTGCTTAGGCTGACAAATTTTTATGGGGGTGGATCAACATACTAATGGAAGGTCTCAGTCCTATATTGGAATTCAAAAGCTCCATTGAGCAAGTGAAATATAGTTCCTTCTCCTTTCCCACTGTCTTGGTTTTCATGAAAGAACTAGAAAGGAACTTTGCTTTAACTTAAGTCTTCCTTCAGGTTTTCCTTGCTTTATGCAGGTTCACTTCACGAGAATTAACTGTTATGCGATGTTTCATTTTTAATAGTAATAATATGTGTTAATATACATTTGCTTTGTGTGTTTGGTGTACTTTATAAAGCATATTGGAGATTCTTATTATGGAGAATAAACTGTTGATGGCTTGACAGAGCTTAGTACAACTGTCATGAACCTGCAACATGTGTACTACATAGAGTGAAGGTTACTTGTATATCTCCCTTTAATGAAAGTGCATAGTGTAATTGGGCACTGTTGCTCCCTGGTGGATATTTTTAGAGAAAATTTTGTTAGGAAAAGGCCTTTTGTCTGTGTGTTGAATCACTAACAAATAAACTAAACTTATTGTATAAAGTCCCTGACCCCAACAGAGGTAATCAGTGGTCTTAGCTAACATTTATGAAAGGTCTTTGCTAGTGCCAATCTCTTGAAAACAAATTTCAATTTCTATCAGGTGTTGGTTCATTAACCATTAAATTGTCCAAATGTAGATCTATGTTCACATGCATAGCACTCCAAACATAGATCTACTTTTTTTTTTACATAAGAAAGCATGTAAAATCAAATGTAGATCTACGTTTGGAGCGCTACACACATGAACGTAGATCTACGTTTGGACAGTTTAAGGGTTAATAATATATTTTAAAGGTGAATAAAATTTCTTCAAAATTTGCATAATTTTTCTTTGTGCTACCATATTTGCTTGTTATTGTTTTACCTGACTAGTCTGTGAGAGCTATGTAGCTCATTTTATTTTTTATATATGCATCACAGATCAAGCAGAAGGCATCATCACCAGACTGGAAGGGTTTCTTTTTCCTTTCCTTGATAATGACAAGAAACTAACATTGAGAAATTCTGAAAATTGGCCATATGTCAGTAATTGTCTTAAATATTAAGTTATGGAAGGAGAAAAGAGAATATGAATGTGTAAATTCAAGGATTATGTGGATTAAAGTAAAGGTTGGATGTGACAAGTGGGTCATAATAAGCGTGTATGCACCTGGAGAAGAGAGGAATGTAGAGGAGAGAGAGAGAGAGATTTTGGGAGATGTTAAGTGAATGTATAGGAACCTTTGAACCAAGTGAGAGAGTAATTGTGGTAGGGGACCTGAATGCTAAAGTAGGAGAAACTTTTAGAGAGGGTGTGGTAGGTAAGTTTGGGGTGCTAGGTGTAAATGATAATTGGAGCCCTTTGAACTTTGTATAGAAAGGGGTTTAGTTATAGGTAATACATATTTTAAGAAAAAAAAAGGATAAATAAGTATACAAGATATGATGTAGGGCAAAATGACAGTAGTTTGTTGGATTGTATATTGGTAGATAAAAGACTGTTGAGTAGACTTCAGGATGTACATGTTTATAGAGGGGCCACAGATATATCAGATCACTTTTTAGTTGTAGCTACACTGAGAGTAAATGGTAGATGGGATACAAGGAGAATAGAAGCATCAGGGAAGAGAGAGGTGAAGGTTTATAAACTAAAAGAGGAGGCAGTTAGGGTAAGATATAAACAAGCTATTGGAGGATAGATGGGCTAATGAGAGCATAGGCAATGGGGTCGAAGAGATATGGGGTAGGTTTAAAAATGTAGTGTTAAAGTGTTCAGCAGAAGTTTGTGGTTACAGGAAAGTGGGTGCGGGAGGGAAGAGGAGCGATTGGTGGAATGATGATGTAAAGAGAGTATTAAGGGAGAAAAAGTTAGCATATGAGAAGTTTTTACAAAGTAGAAGTGATGCAAGGAGGGAAGAGTATATGGAGAAAAAGAGAGAGGTTAAGAGAGTGGTGAAGCAATGTAAAAAGAGAGCAGATGAGAAAGTGGGTGAGATGTTATCAACAAATTTTGTTGAAAATAAGAAAAAGTTTTGGAGTGAGATTAACAAGTTAAGGAAGTTTAGAGAACAAATGGATTTGTCAGTTAAAAATAGGAGAGGAGAGTTATGAAATGGAGAGTTAGAGGTATTGGGAAGATGGAGGGAATATTTTGAGGAATTGTTAAATGTTGATGAAGATAGGGAAGCTGTGATTTCATGTATAGGGCAAGGAGGAGGAAGAGCCAGTTGTGAGTGTGGGGGAAGTTCGTGAGGCAGTAGGTAAAATGAAAGGGGGTAAGGCAGCTGGGATTGATGGGATAAAGATAGAAATGTTAAAAGCAGGTGGGGATATAGTTTTGAAGTGGTTGGTGCTATTGTTTAATAGGTGTATGGAAGAGGGTAAGGTACCTAGGGATTGGCAGAGAGCATGCATAGTTCCTTTGTATAAAGGCAAAGGGGACAAAAGAGAGTGCAAAAATTATAGGGGGGTAAGTCTGTTGAGTATACCTGGTAAAGTGTATGATAGAGTTATTATTGAAAGAATTAAGAGTAAGACGGAGAATAGGATAGCAGATGAACAAGGAGGCTTTAGGAAAGGTAGGGGGTGTGTGGACCAGGTGTTTACAGTAAAACATATAAGTGAACAGTATTTAGATAAGGCTAAAGAGGTTTTTGTGGCATTTATGGATTTGGAAAAGGCGTATGACAGGGTGGATAGGGGGGCAATGTGGCAGATGTTTCAGGTGTATGGTATAGGAAGTAGGTTACTGAAAGCAGTGAACAGTTTTTACGAGGATAGTGAGGCTCAAGTTAGAGTATGTAGGAAAGAGGGAGATTATTTCCCAGTAAAAGTAGGCCTTAGATAACAAAAAAAGGCACAATACCGTGACTGGAACGATACACAAATAATCCGCACATAAAAGAGAGAAGCTTACGACGACGTTTCAGTCCGACTTAGACCATTGACTAAGTCGGACCGAAACGTCGTCGTAAGCTTCTCTCTTTTAAGTGCGGGTTATTTGTGTATAGGCCTTAGACAAGGATGTGTGAAGTCACTGTGGTTGTTTAATATATTTATAGATGGGGTTGTAAGAGAAGTAAATGCGAGGGTCTTGGCAAGAGGCGCGGAGTTAAAAGATAAAGAATCACACATAAAGTGGGAGTTGTCACAGTTGCTCTTTGCTGATGACACTGTGCTCTTGGGAGATTCTGAAGAGAAGTTGCAGAGGTTGGTGGATGAATTTGGTAGGGTATGTAAAAGAAGAAAATTAAAAGTGAATACAGGAAAGAGTAAGGTTATGAGGATAACAAAAAGATTAGGTGATGAAAGATTGGATATCAGATTGGAGGGAGAGAGTATGGAGGAGGTGAATGTATTCAGATATGTATTTGGGAGTGGACGTGTCAGTGGATGGGTCTATGAAAGATGAGGTTAATCATAGAATTGATGAGGGGAAAAGGGTGAGCGGTGCACTTAGGAGTCTGTGGAGACAAAGAACTTTGTCCTTGGAGGCAAAGAGGAGAATGTATGAGAGTATAGTTTTACCAATGCTCTTATATGGGTGTGAAGCATGGGTGATGAATGTTGCAGTGAGGAGAAGGCTGGAGGCAGTGGAGATGTCATGTCTGAGGGCAATGTGTGGTGTAAATATAATGCAGAGAATTCATAGTTTGGAAGTTATGAGGAGGTGCGGGATTACCAAAACTGTTGTCCAGAGGGCTGAGGAAGGGTTGTTGAGGTGGTTCGGACATGTAGAGAGAATGGAGCGAAACAGAATGACTTCAAGAGTGTATCAGTCTGTAGTGGAAGGAAGGCAGGGTAGGGGTTGGCCTAGGAAAGGTTGGAGGGAGGGGGCAAAGGAGGTTTTGTGTGCGAGGGGCTTGGACTTCCAGCAGGCATGCGTGAGTGTGTTTGAAAGGAGTGAATGGAGACAAATGGTTTTTAATACTTGATGTGCTGTTGGAGTGTGAGCAAAGTAATATTTATGAAGGGATTCAAGGAAACCGGCAGGCCGGACTTGATTCCTGGAGATGGGAAGTACAGTGCCTGCACTCTGAAGGAGGGGTGTTAATGTTGCAGTTTAAAATCTGTAGTGTAAAACACCCTTCTGGGAAGACAGTGATGCAGTGAGTGATAGTGAAGGTTTTTCTTTTTCGGGCCACCCTGCCTTGGTGGGAATCGGCCAGTGTGCTAATAAAATAAATAAAATAATTAAGTACAACCAGTTGTAGTGTTGAGACTGTTATAGAGTAGTTTTTAACTAGTGGTCCACCTTATTAGTCAGCTCTTGTTAGCATTTTATGTATTTTATCTAAATACAGTATTATATCATGGACAGTTTTATTTGTATAGTAATTTCCTTAACATTGTGAAATAATATTTAATAAATATCATCAGCTTTACATGCCACATTTATTAAGGAATTTTTGTGCAAATAATTTTTATCTCCACAGTTTATTATTCACACTTTTGTACTTGGTTTTTATCATTTGAAGTGAAAGTATTAATTAACCCTTTCACTGTTGGTGCCGTAATATTACGACTTGCAAGCCAGTGTTGGTGCCGTAATATTACGCCAAAATTCTAGTGGCTTCCAATCTTGCAGGAGAAAACTGGTAGGCCTGCATATGAGAGAATGGGTCTGAGTGGTCAGTGTGTGCAGCATATAAAAAAATTCTACAGCACCCAGTGCATAGAGAAAAATCCAACTGTGTTTTTGGTTTAAAATGACTTTGCAGTGTATTTTCATATGGTATTTATGGTTGTATTCTCATTTTCTTGGTCTCATTTGATAGGATGGAAGATGTGTTACAGAAATAGAAATGATTTTGAATGGTTTTCAGACTAAAAGTACCTTTAAATTGAGCTCAAAACAGTAGAAATGTTCGATTTTTTGCCGATGTTCAAGAGTAAACAAATCACATCACGCATCCAATACAAGTCAGCTGATAGGTCTAATGTGCTTTCACAAATGCGCTGATATTATTTGTACCATTTTTACAATAATGTAGTAGTCTGTATAACAGTAAATATTTTATTATTTGTGTGAATAAAAATTAAAAATGGAAAGCAAGCGTAATATGAGAGGGGCCTGGAGACGTGACTAATGAGCAGAGAAAATATTATTTTAGTTCTAAGAATGTCTGCATTGTTTATTTTAGCCCCTATTTTGAAATTGGCCTTACAATACAATACAATTTTTATTTCTTTTGCAAGTTTACATTGAGATTCTGTACAATAATGAGTTGCAGTGCAAAGAGCCACTATCATGCCACGGCATTATGGTGGGCAGACTAAATTAATGGCTTACAGAAATTGATCATAGTTTGTTTAAGTTGTACATATGTTTTTATTTAAAGCAGACAGTAAGTTAACTGAAGTTACAATCTGGGGATATTACATTGGGACAATTTGAAAGTGCTTTGTAAGTTGTGTACAGTGGACACCCGGTTAACGATATTTTTTCATTCCAGAAGTATGTTCAGGTGCCAGTACTGACCGAATTTGTTCCCATAAGGAATATTGTGAAGTAGATTAGTCCATTTCAGACCCCCAAACATACACGTACAAACGCACTTATATAAATACACTTACATAATTGGTCGCATTGGGAGGTGATCGTTAAGCGGGGGTCCACTGCATATCAGTAGTAAATATTTAAGTTATATTATTGGAATATAATATTGAGCATTGGTGAAAGTTTACAGTATGAGAATGCTACAATATGGTGTAAGGCAGTATAGTTTTGTGCAGGTATTTATACTACAGTGTAGTATTAAGTTATGTATGAACGTTGGGTATTTAAATTTTGAAATGTTAAGATTTAGGTAATTGGGAGATATTTTGGCAAATTTAAGTATTGAGTATTGAATATTTAGTTTAAGATGAGTAAATGGTTTTTGAGAAGAGTCTTAAATTGAATTGTGTATGAAATTGGCCAAATTACCAATTTCTGATCACTTTATTGGGTAGTTGAAATTGATAAATGGGCGGTTTCTTGTACTCAGACGATAGAAGTTCTAGCAAAATAGCTATGAGTTTGGCCAACTGGAACAATGGAATTGGCCGAAAATAGGGCTCAAATTGGGCTAAAACACCAATGCGAAAATATCGGCAAGACCATTAACTTTGCAAGAGCATAATTCCATAAGTTTTCCATCAGATTTTGTACTTTTGGTGTCATCACCATCAGTAAAAGGAGTCATTTCAAAGTTTTTTTTTTTTGATACAGAGCAAGTGTGTGTGAGCAGGGGCCTTGACAGTGAAAGGGTTAACCAAAATGCTCTAGGGACATTTTGGTCACATAGCTTTTATTACAAATTCTGTGCACAAAAAGTTTGTGTCCCCAGTTCATTATTTTTAATAAATTATTTTTTGTACCTATTGGTAGGAAGAGGCAGAGCGTTTATATCGTGGCTGTGGGAGATATGACTTGGTCAATCGCTTGCATCAGGATGGAGGTATCTGGTCAAAGGCATTGGAGACAGCAGAAAGCAATGACAGAATTCACCTACGTTCTACTCACTACAATTATGCTAAACACTTGGAGAGCAAAGGTATGTTTTTTAGATATATAAAGTTATAGGTAGTAGAAAAAAAGAGCACAGAACAGGCAGAGATTGAACCTATGGCAATTGAGTCCTAAAGCTCAAGACCAGTGCATAAGCCACTAGGCCAGCTGGCTACAATAAAGAAATATACCAAGTTGCATGAATCTGATTGTAGCCAGCTGGCTGAGTGGCTTACACACTGCCCTGGAGTTTTAGGACTCGCTTGCCATTGGTTCAGTTCCCACAAGTTCCATGATTTGTTTGCAGTCGTGTTTTTACCAGTTATAGGTAATAAGGTGGTAGATGGTAACCATCCAGGGAGGTACTACTATCCTGTCATATGAGTGTGAAATGGAAACATGTAATTGTTTTACACAATAGTAGGATTGCTGGTGACTTTTTTCTTTGTCTCATAAACACACATAATGACAGGTACAGCTTGCTGCTACTATTAAACTTAATTTATACTACACATGCATATGCATGTACAGGTGGCCCTCCACATTCATGAGGGTTAGGGGATCAAGAACCTCGTGAATGTTGAAAATTTGGGAATGTTTGATGCACGAATATATTGTAGGGAAATATAATAATAGCATTTACTTTGCCTAACAATACTGCTTCCTTAACCTATTGAACCATGAACACTCATAAAACACATGAAAACATCATAAAATACATACATGTATTGTATATACATACATGTTATGGTTTGATAACAAATAATGAACAAACAAAACATTCACCACTCATAAGGTTAGGCAGACGAACTCTGATGACTTGTGATGATAATGACAATGATGATGGTGATGATAGCCATGCAGTTACTGATGACAGTTGAATGGAGGTGATTATATGGAGTGTATCTGCATGGCATGATGAGTCTGGTGTGTGGATTCTAACTCTTCACTCCCAGTGTCACTGCCAGTAATAGGCGGTGGATCATCGACATCGCTAGAGTCAGAGTTAGCAATGAGAGTAGTGGCAGGCTTCCTTGTGAAGAACATTGTGATGGGCAACTGAGGCCATTTCCTCTTCATATCTACAAACAGAGTTTTGTAGGGAATTATGCTCCTATCAGTGTCGTTCATCACCTTCAAAGCCCTCAACATCGGTGGGTCTGTGTCATAAAAAAATTGTTTGAGCTGTGCTGTCATTCTCATCGGGATGCGGCAGGAAGCATATATATGATTGGGCGGCTGAGCATTCACAACTGTTCAAAACTCACGAAAGTAGAACTCGTGAATGTGGAGGGGCACCTCTATATATGATTACACACCCATCTGAGTTTTCTTCTGTGTTCTTAATGTTTCTTGTTTTTACATTTTCATCTCCACAGGGGAAGTACAGAAGACCCGTCATTTAACACATTTTTGTTTGGCACGTTTTAGTTATAACACTATTGAAGGATTACAGCATATATTTGTATAACACTTCGTAAAATTGACTTAACATGGTTCAGTTTGCGGGAGGGGAAAAAATTTGGAGTGTCGCCTGTGGGATATACTCTGCCTGGCTGTGGGTTAGACCATTGAGTCAATGGGGGAAACCTACCACCATTCCCCATCACCTCCGCCAGCCTCCACCACTCCCACCACCCTTGTCCCAGCCTTGGGTTCATACGTATGTAGAACCATCCTCTGCTAGGTAAATACTGTATGAGTAAATACGAGTTTGTGTGATGACTTACTGACTTACTTGACGGATTTACTGACTGACTGACTTGAGTGATTTACTAACTTACTGACATACTTGACTGACTGATTGACTTGTTGACTTGACTGATTTACTGACTTGACTGACTTGCTGACTTGACTGACTTACTGACTTGACTGACTGAATTACTGACTTGACTGACTGACATAACTGACTGACTGACTTCACTGATTTACTGACATGGCTAATTTATGCACATTCCAGTACAACCATTGACTTCAGTACCAGAACCTCTACCATCCACCTCAGCCCAGTTGGGCCACAGCATAACACTCCACTCTCCACAATCATCCACACACACAAGCACCCACAATTTAAGGTAAGAAATACTATTACAGTGGACCCCCTGCTATTTGGCCAATGCAGAAAACATACAGTTCGGATTTCGAGCACTTTTTTTGGCGAAATCCCCCCACCCCTCATTCCATACATCTGCTCGGAAATCATTGGTACCAGAAGCATGTGCCTAGGCTGTTCATACGTTTATGACTCATTCTTGGGCACATTAAATATCTTATTTTAGGTTAATATAGACATTTTCATTAATCCATCTATGATATTTTCTTCAAAATTGTATAAACACGTTACAAAGCATATAAACATGCAATGTTTATGTGCTATCAAGGGGTGGGGGTTAGGCGGAGGGTAAACATTATGTTTTCTCTGGTCCAACTTCAGAGAAAACATTTATGAATCTGCGTTGGCCCAGTAACCGCCCTTAACCCTTTCAGGGTAGAGAGACCCTCTCCTAAACTTGTTCTCAGGGTTGAAAATTTTTCAGAAAAAAAAAAAAAAATCTTAACGAAATGATACAGAATCTTTTCCCGATCATAATGACAACAAAAGTATGAAATTTGATGGAAAACTTATGGAATTATGCTCTTGCGAAGTTAGTGGTTTCGACGGTGTTTACGCATCAGCGATTTCACCCACTTTGAGCCATATTTTCGGCAAATTCCAGTGTACTAGTCAACAAAAATCATAACTATTTCGCTAGAACTCCATTTTTTCTATCGAATGAGTACAAGAAACCACCCATTTACCGATTTCAACTATCCAGTAAAGTGGCCAGAAATTGACAATTTTGCCAATTTCACACAAATTTCAAAATATGCCAATTTCCAAATAGGGTCCAGAAGAAACAAGATAGACATTCCTGGCACTAAAATAACATTTTCTCTGTTCATTAGTCATGTCCCCAGGCCCCACTTACATTTCCTTTCCTTTCCACTTTGAATTTTTATTCTCACAATAAATATGAGTTACTGTTATGCAGACTAGTGCATTAGTGTAGAAATGATATAAATAATATCAGTGCACTTGTGAAAGAATATTAGACTCACCAGTTGAGGTGTATTGGACACATAGCATGATTTGTTTACTTTTGAACTTGGGCAAAAATCGAACATTTCTGCTACTTTGAGCTTGATTTCAAGGTACTTTTCATTGTGAAACCAATCAAAATCATCTCAATTTCTGTAATATATCTTCCATTCTATAAAATGAGACAAGGAAAACTAGAATGCAGCCATAAATACCATACGAAAATACCGTGCAAAGTCGCTGTTTTGAACCAAAAACACGCTCAAAGTTTTTTTTTTCTCATTATGCACTGTGTGCTGCAGGATTTTTTTTATACTGTGCATACTGACCACATAGACCCATTCTTTCATATGTAGGCCTACCAGCATTCTCTCAATAGGTTTGAAGGCGCTAGAATTTACTCATACTAGTACGTCAATAACCCTGGTACGTAAGATGTACTAGTACGTTGGAAACCCTGAAAGGGTTAATAGTACATAAGGCTTTTGTTTACAGTTCTCGGCATGAGTTATTCATTAAATCAACATCAACCTTGGCTTACTAGATGATCAGCCTGTAACTGATTTCATCAACAATATGAACAACACACTTCTCATACCAACAATAACTAAACCAACCAGGCTCACTGAGACAAGTGCAACCATAATAGACCACATATGGACCAATATACAGGTCTCCCTCAACATTCGCGAGGGTTAGGGGATCAAGAGCCTCGTGAATGTTGAAAAACCGTGAATGTTTGGTGCCCCAATATATTGTAGGGAAATATAATACAATGCTACTTCCTTAACTTGTCCAACCATGAACAATCATAAAGTACATGAAAACGTCGTAAATTGTACTAAATACATACGTTATGCCTTAATAACATGTATGTTATTAAATACCACTGCCTCAACCAATGCGAGTCCCTACTACCCTCCCTCTGACCCCCCACAACTGGCAGCCAGCCCTCCCACCACTGTGTGGTGAGTGTTTTGTTTGTTCATTATTTGCTATTAAACTACAGTATAAATAATGTAAACCAATCCATGACTGCATACTAGAATGGCTATTCGGACAGGTATTGGACGGTGACATCATGTGTTTACTCTTGAACACAGCAAAGAATCAAACATTTCTGCTACTAATAATAATAATAATAATAATAATAATAATAATAATAATATAATTAATAATATAATAATAATAAATAATAATAATATAATAATATAATAATAATATAAAATAATATAATAATAATAATAATAATAATAATATAATAATATAATAATAATAATACTAAATACGATAGAATTGAAGAAGGAAATTGTACAAAAATACGAGGGTTGAAGCAGTGGTGAAGGAAGTGGTTGACGCAGCCTCAGTGTGGCTTTGTTTATGCTGGAGTGAGTATTAGTCTCCGTGCTCTTCCAAACATTTCACAATAATTCATTGTATTTGGTGCTTGCTTGTAGATTGAGTGTGACTGGAGTGGTTGAGGCAGTGGTAGAGGCACTGCCTCTATAACTGCCTCTACCACTGCCTTATCACAGCCTCTACCACTGCCTCTACCACTGCCTCTATAACTGTCTCTACCACTGCCTCAACCACTCCAGTCACACTCAATCTACAAGCACCAAATACAATGAATTATTGTGAAATGTTTGGAAGAGCACGGAGACTAATACTCACTCCAGCATAAACAAAGCCACACTGACGATGCGTCAACCACTTCCTCCACCACTGCTTCAGCCCTCGTATTTTTGTACAATTTCCTTCTTCAATTCTATCGTATTTATTATTATTATTATTCTTTCTTTCTTTCAACACACCAGCCGTATCCCACCAAGGCGGGGTGGCCCAAAAGGAAAAACAAAAGTTTCTCCTTTCACATTTAGTAATATATACAGGAGAAGGGGTTACTAGCCCCTTGCTCCTGGCATTTTAGTCGCCTCTTACAACATGCATAGCTTACGGAGGAAGAATTCTGCTCCACTTCCCCATGGAGAATTATTATTATTATTATTATTATTATTATATTATTATTATTATTATTATTATTATTATTATTATTATTATTAGCAGTAGCACAAATGTTTGATTCTTTGCTGTGTTCAAGAGTAAACACATGATGTCACCTTCCAATACCTGTCTGAATAGCCATTCTAATATGCAGTCATGGATGGGTTTACATTATTTATACTGTAGTTTAATAGCAAATAATGAACAAACAAAACACTCACCACACAGTGGTGGGAGGGCTGGCTGCCAGTTGCAGGGGTCGGAGGGAGGGTAGTAAGGACTCCTGGCGGTAAACTTAAATATGATTTGGAGGCTGGGAATTTGGCAGTTGGCAATTCGCGAATGTGTGAAGCCCGCGAAAGTTGAAAACGTGAATGTTGAGGGAGACCTGTACTAGTCCCCCTTAAATCAGGGATAATCACAGATAGCACTACAGACCACTACCCTACCTTCCTCCTGACAAACATT